TGGTATTTGCATCAAAATTTTTAAGAAAAAAAAAGAAAAGAAGAAAAAAGAAAAAAAAAGTAAAAGAAAAAAAAGTTTGTTTTTTTTCCCAAAAATAAAAATAAAGAAAAATTATCTCATTATTCCCCATCCTGTTGAAACCTTTGTAAAGTTGAAACATTTAAGTATTTAAATTAAAAAAAAAAAAAAAAAAAAAAAAAGAAAAAAAGTATATATATATATATATATATATATATATATATAATTTGCATATATATTCTATTACTAAAATTTCATTTAATTGATTATTTTAATTTCCAGACTAGCATTCTCATGTTAGTTTTTATATTTTGACCGGTGTTTCCTAATGATAAATAGTTGACATGTTATGGCATTTTCATCAACCACTTACATGTGTGTTATTGATAAATTGCAGCATGAATTATTTCCCTATCACTAAAACATCATTCAATGACATTACTCTAAAGAAGAAGAAGGAAAAAAAAAACAAATAAAACAAAAAACTTTCATTCAGAAATTTTACATCACACATTTATAATGTCATTTAATTTTGCATATTTATTTTAATACAACTACTACTAAAAATAAATAAGTGACTGCTGTCCATGAAGAACTTCCTAGCAGACCCGCAGAGAGCTGCAGACATTTCAAGACCGCTTGGACTCAGTTGGTTCGGAGGCCGTCTTAAAATGTTCCTGATATTGATGCAGAATAAGGAGGACTTCTGAGAACTCCTTAAACTCTGTGTCACCATATCAAGATATCAATAAATAAAAACCATCTTTGAGGCATCTAAACTGACACTTTCCATTTCATGGTACCATTTTTTGAATGGGAATATTCTTTTGTTTTAAATTTTTATTTGTAAATTTCCTTTTGGTTCAATGACAGAATAAAATCCTGATGTTATTGGAAAATGGTTGTGGTAGAATTAAGGTGTTGGCAGGAGAACCAACCATTTCAGATTTTGGCATTTGGATATCATTTTTGTCTTTTAGTTTTTTGTCTCTAGAAACCAAAATAGTGATGGAAGGCTAAGTTGGGCCTCAGTATGATAAAAAAAAATACAGACACTACGAGTGGCACTGGACAATGATCTGTTTCATTGGCAGAGAACCCATAAGATTTTAAAATGGATTACTGAATTATGACTATCTTAAAAATAAAATGGCAGGAAATTTATAGAGAGAGAAATGGTTGAAAATTTAATTTAAAAAAAAAATTAGACATTGTTGATTTACACTTTCATATGAGTTAAATGGTGGCAATAATCTTATTGAACATTGCTGAAAGTCAATTAGAAATGTATGTGATTTCTGAGTTACAAATTAAAAATATGCAAATATAAGAAAACCCATTTCAATCTGTGTAGAGAATTTAGATCAAATTATATCAAAATTTAAGGAATGCAAATAAAAATTCATAAAATATTCCTCACCTGTAATATTATTTTTATTCAATTAAAATCTTAATATTCCTATATTTTTAAAAGTAAATTTTATTTTTATGATATTTTGCCAATGATTTCTTCAAACATCCTGAATTTGGTAAAAATATAAAACTTGGATGGAATCAAGACATTAAGATGGTTTATGATTATCTGAAATTCTGGATATTGATAAAAAGTTTGTTAGTTGCATTGTTACATGTTTTAAAAGGGATGCTCTAACTATTGAAACAATCATTGTTTCTCTGGCAGCCACACTGCATATAAATGAAATTGTCCATTTCAACCAAGCCAATTAGAATTGATGACCAATAATAACAAGTTTCTATATGGCATCAACAAAGACTGGACTGATGTTATGGACTTAACCACACAGTTTATCTTTCTGTGCATTTATGTATGAATGTTGAATGCATCTATTTCATTTCCATCAGGAGGGAGCTAACTAGTTCCTGAGGTGAAATGGATAGAGAAGCATATTCAACATTCCCATGACAAAAGACTTATATACCAGGATAGCCATTTTGTCCTCAGAGGACTTCACACCCTCTTTTTTTTTTTTTTTTCACACGTCAAAGAAAAAAAATTCTTGTGCAGATTATTAAATCAATTATAAATATTGTAAAAACAAGATGTTAAAGCAATGATAGGAGAGGAGGAGTTCAGCAAAAAGTTTGTAAACTTTCAAGTGATAATAAAAATATATAAATGTTTACCTTTTTATGGGAGTGGGGGAATGAAAGGAAGTCTGTTTTTTAATGGTGTGATCCAAGAGAGAGTGGTTAAAAAATAATGATTTTATTCAAGGCTACATGACATATGAAAGCTTTTGCCAGAAAGTCTCTATCAAGTTGTAGGTTTGTTATCATGGCCAAAAATCACATTAGTTTAAAATGTAAAAAAAAAAAAAAATCAAAATGAACATTGACCTTCTAAATTAAAATTAGTCTAATTTTGCATTTGAGGCTTAATATATGAAACTTGTTTTCTGAAACAAGAATGTAGTGCAATGTCAAAAATACAGTCTAGGATTCCAATATGGAGACATATGTTGGGTTATTACAGATTTTGCAACAATACAAACAAACAGAACATGTCTGAGATATGAACCATTTACCAAAGGTCTAAATAGTAGCTCTCAGGAAGAAACCTGAGCCAATTATTTCACCATGGTCAGTAACAAAAGAAACATTGCTTTTTACTGAAACATTCATACCTTAGACCTAAATCTACAATTGTTTAAAGGAAGATTTGTAATAGTAAAGACAATCAATCTGATTTGTTTTTATATTGAAAACATTATGTAATGAATCCAGAACTTGTCAGTGGAAAAATTCACATTATACATGTTTGAGAGTATCAGTTAGGTATTATAGGCTCAGTTTAAAAAAAAAAAAAAAATTAACAACCATATTAATTGAAATTGCCAACAGATACAATTTTGTTGTTGATTCCACAGCAAATTTTGAAATATGCAGCAATGAAGCAAATACAGATTGTATGAAATCATTTTTAGTTAAAAATGAGATGTATATGGAGAAGGTAACAAAGCTGAGAAAGATGCTGACAAAATGAGATATAAAATGCGAGTTTCAGTGCGTAAAACATTCAGTGTAATACAACACTTGTGTACTAGAAACACTGTTGTACATCATAACACTTACATAATCTAAAAATCTCATACAATAGAACATTGAATAGCTTAAAAGACTGTTCTGCTGTAATCATAGAGCTGATTACTGAACAGAATTTTTTATATTTGTGGATCTGATGAATAGTTTCAGGCAACTGGGCAATGATCGTTTTGAATAATATATAAGAAAGAGGTTTTGAATTTAATGAAAAATTAACAGATGAAAATGAAATCAAGAATAAATAGACTGTAGTTTGTAAGCAAATTGGCAGAATAGAAAAATGGGAAAGGATGGAATTTAGCTTCAATTTGAATAACAAGTAAAAATATTCCATATTTTGATTATCCCAATAAGCAAAAAGTTCAATAAAAAAAGGCAATCCTTATGTCATTTTGTGAAAAAATTTCATGAGAATCTTTTTGGCATAAATAAGAATTGCTTCAGTTCACCAATAGGAATCAAATATTTATTTGATATTTAAGAGAGAATATTTTGTAAAACAATAATGATCACAAATATAAAAATAGTAAAAACTGATGCAAGTTTCTTCAAGCTTACAAGATTCCATGATTTTATTAATATAAAAAAATAAAAATTAAAGTCTACAATTATTTCTATAAACTAATATTTATGAATTTGTTATTATTAAACACGGACTAAAACAAGTATATTTGTATCTAAGGAAAAAAAATAGCGTAAAATTTATGAAAACATTGATGATTATTTTTAACTTAGTAAATTTTTCCAATCATGATTTAATTTATAATTTTCAAAAACTAGCAAGTAATAAAGAAATATATGAAGAGGTCAGAAGATTCCAAACTGATTTCTCAAGATGTGCAATTCTTTCCTTGTGTGGATGAAGGAATAAGGACACAAAAGACTACAATCTGCACAAATAAAAGAAAAAATAGTTTTATTACAGGCTGTTGGAGGTGTTTTATATTTGGACCAAGTGAAGAATTTTATTGTAAAGAGATGATGGAATTCGAAAGAAAAATGAGATCTTTGCCGAAGAGTAACTTTTCAATGGTACATTCACATCGAAAAAAATGTTTTGACAAAAAAGAGTAGATTTTTGTTTATTATGAATTTTAATATACATGCAGGTTATAGAAAGATGGAAAATATGTGTAGGCATTTACAGCATATGAATCAATAGAATGACAGGACATTTTTAATTTTAACCCTTTAAATTAATTTTCTTAGTTTTCATTTAGAACACCAATATTATCTAACAGAAAACATACACACATAAAATTCAAGGATATATTAGGAAGTATACATCAAGACATTTATCTGAAAGGGTTTTTCATTTAGTATGAAAGTTTCATTGAGATCTACACTTCCCACTAAGGTCATTCTTCATAAGAAACAATATCTACAGACAGACAGATGGTTCAGTATTGGACAGATATCAAAATAAAATTGCTAATTTGTCAGTAACAAAAACTATATGTACTGGAAATTACTCAATCTAGATTTTGAATAAAAATCGTGTACTTTTCTTTGAAATGTGCAAGTGATTGTGAAACAGACACTGGTCAAAAGAACAAGATGAAAAAGTGCTAAGTATTGGACTGACTCATTAACTTCTAATTTTATTATCATCAATAAAGTTAGAACAAATTCCAGAGTCAATACAACCAAAAATCCACTCAGTTTCTTGATTGATCTATTTGTTAAAAAATGCTATAAAAAATATCAAGTTGAATTCTTCTGTAAAATTTATCAGTTAAGAAGAATCTCACTTATAAAAATAAAGAATGTATTGAAAATGTTACAGTCCAATTAACAGAAAAAAAAAATGAAGAAAAAGAGACATCAAGAGGGGAATTAGTGCCAAAGGAAAAGTCGGGGTAACTTCTGGATTTCCAAGTCCGTTTCCGTCCAGTAGAACATGGTTGCCTACAAAGTCATCATCGGTTTTTTTGGATGTACTGGCTTAACAGAACGTTTGGAGGATTAAAATAATCCTTGTTATTCTCCACTTCAGTCCTACGGGTTCCTTCATCATCAAAACCTGCAAAAAGAAGTCAGAGGTTTTATTTTTTCATGATAAAATTTGCTTCAATTAAAAACATGCAGATCAATCTTTGAAAAATTAGGTAAATGTTATTCTGATAAGAATCCAGATAAAGATTAACTAACAAACTGATCTTCAGAAGAAACAAAATTGATAACAATCTAATCAACCAAATAATAGTTCTAACATTACTTTGGCAATAGACTGAGTGACTGCCATACAATAAGAAACTGATATCTTATCAAGTCTCTGTTTCCTGTAATTATTTTCCATATGGACCAAAAGATACCATAAAAAATTTACTACTCATCTTTTTAAAATGAAATTTGTTAAGAAAATCTTTTTACATGCATACAATAATGTATTTTGAAGAAATTAACCAAGTAATAAATTTAAAATCTCATGTACTACTTAAAAAATAGCATTAGCAATACTTTAAAGTTAATTGAACAAAAAAAAAAAAAAAATCATGTTTTATGAAATGTAAAAAAAATTTTATAGTATTTTTTTTTAGTTTTATCAATCATCAATCAATTGCTCTGAATGAAATCTTTCCAAATTATACTAACTTTTTGACTTCAAATCCAGATACTGACAAATGGCATGAAGCAGCATTCGTTCAAAAGAGTTGGCAAGTTGAGATATGTAAATGGCAGTTGGCCATTCTTGAAAGAAAGTGACCAACTCTTCCTCGATGGACATTAGCAAACCCTGAAACACAAAAAAGAAAAAAAAAAATCAGCAAATAAAAATATGGCTAAGTAATCATAATTCTTAACAATACAAATTCTATTCTTAATAAATAAAATTAATTTTTCTAGTATTTGGAGAATGTACTACTTCTTCAAATCAAAATATTCCATTTTATAAACCTATTATAATCTATAAGTCAAAATTCATATGAGGTTAATTCTGGATGTATATTAATATATTTAAGTAAAATTATACTATTTTTATTCTTAGCCATTTTTTGTGCATCATATTATTGTCACTAATAATACTTTTGTATTTCTAAACCATGAATTACTAGAAATTAAAAGCTTTAACTTTCCAATATGTGATTTTAGTGCTATGTATTTTGTAGCTTACACATCAAGGTTAACAGTTTATAATGAGAAACTTTAACATAAATGTTGAAATTTGATTTCCTTTTATAAGATATGCTTTGCTATAAAATGTAAAATTATTTTACGAGTCTTTATTTGGGTACCTAAAATAGGTAATGCTTCTTCAGAGTTTTGCTTCTCAAATTCCAGATGAGTAAGAAGAACCTAACAGTGTGACGGGAAATTAAGAGCAGCAGGAAGGAATGCTGTGGCAGTAAAACAGCTGATACAAAGATGATAGGTATTTGTTCTAAAAGTCACAAAAGTGGAAAATTTGAAAATGGTCATTATCACTTTTAATGCTATTAATTATATTGCATATAGTTAAATGATTAGCTTGAAAAATAAAAGATCAAAATAGAAGCAGGTTTCACCTAAAATATTTTCACTCTTTATAGTAGTTCCTCTAATGTCTATGTAAATGATGTGCTTATAGAATGGAATAATCTCAGACTAAATCTGATTCCATGACAATTTTCAAGCTAATAAAGGGAGATATACCATGATGTGTTTTAGTTAAACAAAGTTATATATCTTAAATCCAAGCTTCCTGAATTTAAAGAAATCACTCAAAAACTAGAATGGGCAGAATACCATATATAAACAAATATTAGCTTTATTATTTTCTCTTTATATTAAGAGCTACAAGTAAGAAATGAATATCAGTTTTTTTTTTTTTTTTTTTTTTTTGAGAGAATTACATTGTTGCTGCTAAATCTCATGCCATGAAGGTGTTGAGTCTAGGCGACTCACCTTGATGGAGCCAGCAAACACAGCACCGAGTGATGGTGTGCTGGATGTTCAGCTGGCTATTCAGCTCTTGTTTGTAGCCCTCCATATTTTTTTTATGTATACATAAGTGCACATTTTTAAAAATGCAATGGAATATCTATCAGAGGCATGAGGAAAGTAATGCTTGCTATTTATATCCAGAGAAACTACACATAGAGAATACATCATTTTTTGCCAGCAATGGATAAAAGTCTTCACTTTATTGGTTGATAGCAGTGTAGGACCAACCAAAATGTAGTGTCACACATATTGCCTGTTGTTACAGCTGTAACACATTACACATTGCTTAACTGTGCTCACATCCAGTGTATTGATGAATATCAACAGGCACAAGTTTTATGCATAGAGGAATTAAATGACACAGCTTTGCTTTCTATGCATTTTCATGTCAGGTGACATTTTGACAGACTGTCACTCAACTGCCATCTGTAACTAAGCAAACACAAAATATGAGTTCTTGGCAGGAAGGCTAAAACCCTTACTGCCAATAAATTATTTTCCTAACAACATAATAAGTGGCATTACATTTGGAGTGATGTCAAAAAAGATGGGATTATGTATGGATCAACATTTCTACCAAGAATCAAAGTGTAGCATTTGTGCACTGTGAAAAATGTTATATAAACAAAAACTATGGAAGAATATATCCAACATTATTCAAAAACTCAAATCTCTTCTTTGTAATTTTGCTGTTGTCAATACAATGTTTCATCTGATCCCTTCTTCAGCTCTCTTCCAGTATAATCAGCTTTGATGACTACCACAAAAATAAGAGATTTCAGTGTCCAAATAATGTTGGGTATGCTAATGACTCTTCTCAAAGTTATGGACTAAAAAGAAAATTTAAAAAAATTTAAAATGACAGTTTATTTACCTGTGGGAAGTGACGGCGTTTCAGTGTTGATCTTAGCCTTCTGTCCAATCTTTGGTAGCATTCCTCTGCAGTAAAAGCTGGATGAGCTGAGTGAGTAAAATGAAAATTTAGAAAGAATGAAAACCCATTTCATTATAGAAAAAGAAAACTGCTTACACAAAAAGTTAATGTTTCATAGGAGCAAATAAAACTCAACAATGATACACATCAAATGCTGCCTGAAACAATGTGATGAATCAGTGCTATTATACTGTGAATTATTTAGACTAGAGTTCTCATCTTTGTTGTTTTAAACTAAATTTATGGTAATGAGTTCTCCTGCTTTCCTCTGATATAATTTCTTAAGTACTATTCTATATTACCGACTCCCCATCACAAATATAAAATTACACTAAAGAATGACCAAACGCACCATGTGAAGAACAAATAACGTCTCAGCTGCAACTCTATAAAATGACAAATTAACTCAATAATGGATATCTATCTTTATCCAGCCAAACATTTTACCAAATCAAACAACTACTTAATTCATGATTAGTAATAAATGGGAATAAGTATTATATGAAAATAGACAACATAAAAAGATAAGGAAATTTGTTTTATATACTCTGTGTTCTGGCTGATAAGATAAAACTTTTCAGCTTTATGTGGTACTATACCCACTTACTTTGAGTCTTCTGTTGAAATAAAAAAGAAGCCCTGGTTGAAACTGCAACAAGTGATACACTATCCCTACTCATGCCCTCTATGAGTTGTCTCAGCTGGAATAACTTAAATTTTTGCTATCATAATTTGTTATTTATCATTATTATTTAAAAAAAAACAAAAAAAAACAAAAAAAACAGACCAATGAATCAAGAATCTTTAAACACGGGTAAATTACTTTTTTGAGTGCTGAAAATGACTAATGACTAGTATCTTATATCTTATCTTATTATAAAATGCAGATGTGTGTGTGTGTGTGTGTGTGTAACGTTTATATATTGGATCGAATTTCCTACATTTTTTAGCCAATTTCAACAAAACTTCACAGGACTACATAAAATTACCTTGTGATGGTTCTAACAGCGCCGAAAATGGGAAAAACAAAATTGTTTTTTTAAGAAAATCAATTTGAAAACACGATTAAGACACATCGTGAGAATGAAAGGGGGACAACTCACCCACGAAAATGTAAACAAAAGAGCATAGCATGATGAAAAAAAAAAGCCGTACTTGATGAAAACAAAATTTTATCGTCTAATGTTCATATTATTATTAAAGAGGAAAGATCAAAGTATTTTGGGGGTATTTTTTTTACATTTTTTAATCATTCCTAGCACGTCTGAAATTTTTGTTAAATATATTGTTTTATTTTGGTCTAAAAAAAGGACAGATAATCATTTTCAATCATTTTTTTCAATTAAAATCTGACTTTGATATTCTTTTAAAAATCAATTATCATTTTTTCAAAACTGATTTTAATAAAAACAGAAATTATACTGTTTATTTAAAATATCTTGAACCAAGCTTAACTTAGCTTCTGCTAAAAAAAATGTAATTTGAAAATAAAACAAAGCAGGTCATAACCTTTCAGGTCGCTTGACTTAAAGGCACATTCATGACGTTTAGATAATTTACGGGAGGATAATTTTTCTACGGATGGAAGAAAGTGAAATTATTTAAGTGAACAAATTATTTACCTCGTTACTTTTTAAGGAAAACTTTCAGCGCTCTAATTTTTTTTTTTTTTTGTACATAGCTTTCATTTTTACGTTTACGATGCTTTATGGAAAATATAAAGAAATTCAAAAATAAGACTGTTAATAGTGAGATTAAATTTCATAAGAAAAAGGTATCTAATTAATTTAGGTACCTTTCTTATGAAATTTTATCAGAAGTGTACATAAAATACTATAATTTTATGTACATTTATTACATTTTACTGTGTTATTTGTATTTCCATTCGTTTTATCATTAATTTTGTTTGATATTTCATTTATGGAAAAATGTCATAACTGAGATTAATATAAAAATAAGATCATATAAATTAAAGTTTAGCAGTAGTTAAATTTCATAAGATGATACTGTTACTTGTAGGTACCCTTCTCAGTTGAAATTGAAAACTCAAAAAAAATTAACTTCTCCATACGTGTTTCGCAAAAGTAAAGGGCTTAACAGCGGAGAACAATGCTGAACTCAAATAATGCAACTAAATTGTATTCTGGTTGGTCTTCCATACTTGATAATTACTGTCCGACTATAAACACAAAAATTACATTTCTTAATTACCATGGCTAATCTGATTGGTCCAAATTATACAATTTTCAAAGCGCTATGACAATGACAATCTCACACGGACATTTTGAAAGGTTGATGTTGCTTTTAACTAATGTTAAAATATTTTAAAAAATTTTTTTTAAATCTTTTTAAAATTAAAGAAATAAGAAATAATTGTATTAAAAATTCAATTTTCATTGAAAAAATTTTTTGCTTTCAGAAAATATTGTCCATATTCATAAAAACAAATTAAAACAAATAAAAGCATTTGATACTAAATAATATATTTGTTTTATTGAGTCTTGTATGTTACAATTCACAGCTGATTTTCAGGTACGTTGGCAAAAAAAAAAAAAAAAAAAAAAAAAAAAACATGATTTGCATTCTTCAAAGCCTTGTGCTTTTAACTATTGTAATCACTAAAACCGATGGTCTCAAATTTCTAGAGTTTTTCATAAAATTAGTTATGGGGTGTTAATAAATATAAAAAAATATTTCTGCCATGACTTTAATAAAAAAAAAAAAACATTTATAATAATTTTGATCATCTGTGAATAGTTTCTGAAAGTTTCATTAACATCTGACAATTATTTTTATTTTGCAAGATTTTCCAAATTAATGTGTGTAAATACAAAAAACGTGCTAAAAATTATCTATGTTATTTACTACCCTTGTTGTAACAAAGAGAAACAAGGTTTTTAAAATCAAAATTTAGAATATTCTAAAAAGATGGAAAAATTTTAAAAATAATTAAAAAAAATTTAGTCTATCCTCTTCATAAAAACATAAGCATTTTGACGATAAAATTTTGTTTTCATAAACTTTGGCGTCTTTTTCATCAGACTATGCTCTATGTTTTAGCGATTCCGTGGAGTGACTTATGTTAAAAAACCCAGGTTGTGTGTGTGTGTGTGTGTGTTCCTTTATATATGGAATCGGATTTCTTACATTTTTCAGCCGATAAAACAAACATCCACTTTTTTTTTTTGGCAGGTAGTATTTCTTATTGTCTTGCACACTTTTTTCTTTATTTATACATTCAGAATGCTTTAAAAATTCCATTTACAAGACAATTGTTTATAATAAAATTCTAATTCTATTCAATCGGGGGACTCATCATAACGATATTGAAAACAATGTTTTTGTTTGAGTTTGATCAATTCGTAAAAAAAAAAAAACTAAGACATGCGTGTCCGTCAACTTAAACAATAATCTAACGATCTCTACTGATTGTATGAATCGAAAAATCGGATAATTCTTTATCTTTAGGAAAAGATAATTCCACGTACTTTAGGACCGTTTTTACAATTCCCTTTGCAATTTGTTACAAAGGCAGATCAATAAGGCATTGGTTCTATTTGAAATTAATTCAATATTTAAAAGAAAGTATTAAGAAATAATTTAAAATGCCGACGTAAGAAATCTGATAGACAAAAAACAACAATATTTTGAAGATGACAATTATTAAGGAAAGAACACAGTACTTGTAATAAATTAATAAACCCAAATAAAGTTAATATTTTTTGTATTAGAAACAACAAGTGGAAAATATATTCAAATCAGAATTCTAATTATGAATCCCCACAAGCAAAATATGCAATTTTTTTTACTGTATTCAATAAGTAAAAATCATAAATTGTAAAAGATTTCAGAGAAAGGCTACCTACATTTTTCAACCAATTTCAACAAAACTTCAATTTTTTTTGGCAGGTAGTGTTTCTTATTGTCTTGCACATTTTTTTCTTTATTTTTACATTCAGAATGCTTTAAAAATTCCATTTACAAAACAATTGTTTATAATAAAATTCTATTCACCAATCGATAGACTCATAACGATTGTAAACAATTGTTTTTGTTTGAATTTGGGTTTGACCAATTCGTCAAAAAAAAAAAAACACTAATTAAGACATGCGTGTCCATCAACCTTAAACAATAATCTTTGTCAATTTTATTTTTCAGTCTTTATGATGGTCGATACTTGATCTATCTCTTACTGTTACATCCCCAGGCAACGCCGGGCTCTACTGCTAGTTTGTTTATAGTTTTCACAAAATTTCATTTTTTCACCCCAAAGAATTTTAATGTATTGGTATCAAATTATTTTGATTATATATAATATATTAGTCTTTTCAAATAAAACAATGTGTGTTATTGTCAAAAATTAGTGAGTTGATGTGAAACAAAGCCTATGTTGCACATCAAATGTTCTATCATCTCTTCCATTTTAAAAACATTGGCAACATATTTGATATTAATTTACTCAATAGGCTGTGAAATAGTTTCATTTTTTCTATCAAAATAAAACAAAAAAATCACTCAATGCCTTATTTTAATTCTTTTGCTTGTATTTAAAAATTGCATATTTATCTTCTAAAATTGTTTTATGTTGGTAAAATAAAACTAAGACAGATTCTGCTGCATTTGTCAACATAAGAACTAATTCTATTTACCTCCTTTGTATGCAATTACAATTAAATAAGACATTACAACAGTGATTTGCTACTTCAGTGAAGTAAGCTCAAGATATTTTTCAACTTACTGGTTCTCATATCAGGAATTAGTTCCCAGGAATCTGGATCAAAGTCCTTGTCACTTGAATCAGATGGGGACTGTTCAGTTTCATGGGTTTTATGATTCTGGTTGGACTTTTCCAGCAATTCCTTCTGTTCCTCTTCAGAACTGTTAATATATTCATTCCAGATCTACAGCCAAAAAGGTGAAAAATGAAAGTTTTCATTTATTTTCTTACACTCCTATCAGATTGTACTTATGAATTATGCTTCATGACATATCAAATCAAATATAATGGTCATCTTTTCAAGTAAAGTCACAAATATTTTTTATCATTTTTCCATGGTTTTGAATTTTCTTTACATCTTATGAAGTCAGAGGCTGGTAGATGTTACAATTTGTTCAAGAGTGAATTTCACATATCTGGCTATGTGTTTATTGCAAGGCTATACCTAAAAGATATATAGTTTATTGTCTTTTAGAAATCTGAACTGTGTTGGATGTATTGTTTTACAACCTAAATTTTATAAATAAAAGATCAAAGAGATATATAAAATATTCTTCAGTCAATAAATAAATATATATATATATATATATATATATATATATATATATATATATATATATAAATAAAATAAAATGTGACAATTTTATAACACATTGGGTCACACTTTAAGAGAAAATTAAGATTGAGAAAAGATTATAATTAAATTTGCTCCTCTACAACTTATGCTATGATTAAGAGAGAATATGTGTGTGTTTTGTCTGACAGATACAAGAGGAAATCTATTTTTTGGACTCATATTTTGTACTTGCATGCAAATATGGGATAGTACTCTATTTAGAATTTGATAGTTATCTCCCTTGAAAAATAGTTTCCGCTTCAGCTTTAGTACGAACTCCACCATATTGTCATTCATTTGTAAGACACCCCAAATTTTTTTCCCTGTATTCTTTAAGTTAGTATATTTTAGGAATGTCTTAATTCAATACCTCTAACTGCATTGCACTGTTTCAGTTCCTGGTTTCATATTTCCAGTTGAATACAAACACTGACACCCACAACATTATCATTCAATTGCAAATTACCTGGATAAGAAGGGCCTTAATTCAATAACTCTGGTGATAATATACACTTATGGCTACTGAGAGGTTACATCCGACTTTTAGTATTATTATTTAGTTGATAATCCAACTTCGAGATAGATATTTCTGCTACTTGATGAATATATTGTTTCTCAACAATTCAGGACGTAATTGAGTTAAGAGTTTTCTGTCATAAAATTAATAACCATTTTGAAAAAAACTGAGTTAACTAATTTTACATTTGGGCTTAGATAAAAATAAAATGATTTTTAATTGTTTAGTAAAAATATATCCATATGTAGATCATACCATCCTTAAATTTGTTGTCTACTCCAGATTTTTATTGGCATTGCTAGAGAAAAAGGTGTTTTTTTTTTTCATGTATAAAAAGTTTTTATAGAAGGATTACTTGATTAACGGTTGTAGAATTTTTTTGGCGGTGGTGGTGTCATATTTCAGATTTGTAGTACTCAATTTTTCTTGTTAAGAGAGAAAGAGGGAAAATTTATGTCATGACTGAGAATGAGTAAAGTTGAAACTGTTTGTCTTGTTTACATTCATTTACCTTCTTTCATTTCCTTTCTCATATCATGTCATGTCATTAAATGACTATAGATAGGATAAGTAACAATAAAGAGGAAAAGAAATTCGTTTTCCATAAAATAAGTCTGATATAATCTAATTGAATGTTATAAAACTTGGCTAAACTTATGTCAGCAACTTTCAACATCTAAGGGAGATAACTAAGAAAGAGTGATTCACATTTCGTATTTTGCACCATAGTTTTACAATTAGGTCAATTTGCATTTTGGGCTTTCTTCAATAGTTATGATTTCACTGCGGCCTTTTAGTATATCAAGAATTCCATGACTCTTTGATACTGAATCATGGCTGGAAATTTTAAAAAGAATTAAACAGAAAATACAGAATGAACTTGCCTCCCATTTTTCAGTCTCCATGAGCAGTTCTGCAAATACAGAAACCTTGTTTTCCAATTGATCATGTTGCTCCAGATTGTCCCACTCTTCCTTGGGAACCAAATTCAAAAGATTGCGCACTAGAATAGTTGAAGAAAAAAACAAAAAAGATAAAACCAAACATGATAAATTTGGGTTTCTATAAGCATATGTAACAGTTTGAATTGGATATATTTTACATAAGTGCATGATTTATTAGAATATATAAAAACACATAATAAATTGTATATATATAACGTCCTCACCATTTTGTGAGTAGATTTTAAAGCTAAAACTTGATTGCTCTGGCAATAATCCATTGAATATACATATGTGAGATGAAGTTAATACTATTGCTTGAAATTAATTTTATATTAAATATCCAATTTAAAGACAAGAAAATTTCATGAGTAACTGAATTCAATTATTTGATAAAAAAAATTACAAACAAAAAAGGTAAAAAATTCACATTTTTAAGGAAAATGTAATGATTTTGTCTGGGTGTTCGTGAATGTTACAAAGTCAAAATGATTTGCAACTGGTTTGTATTTGGTAAATCACAAGTTTTAACTTTGCCTGACTCACTGTGGGTATTTCACTTGTATCAGTAATAATGCTAAATATAAGGATCATGAAAAAGTATATAAGTGCGCAGATATGCAGAAAATAGAAAAGAACATTGGGTGCATAATCCGAAGTTCCTTAGTACTTTTGTTTTTATTTTTAAGAAGACAGTACTCCATACAGAAGTAGAGCTTTATTATAATATTTTTTTTGTTTAAAAATATGATTCCTTCACTACAGAGTTCTCATGTTTCAAAAACGAGAGCTGAAACCATCCAAATAATTATTAAAATTAAGTTGAATTGAGGTGTTTAGTCCCGTTTCATCTTCAAGTGAAATTTTAGGAAGATTCCTTTTTTCTTTTTAGGAAAAAATATTATATATATATATATGTGTGTGTGTGTGTATACACACACACACACACACGTGTGTGTGTGTGCATGCTCATATGAGAAATGGATACTTACAGTTTTCACATCTGCGTGCCTTGTTGGCACCCATCTTCTTCTTAATGTACAAGTCATCAATTGACTTGTACAAGGAACCTTTTCTGTTACTGCGGCTCTTATTCAAGCCACGGGATTTGTTCAGCTGAGACGGCTCAGGAAGTTCATCTTCAGCCTCGAAGCGGCTAAAACAAAAAGAACAAGAAGTACAAAAGTCAGTTTTCAGTTGATTATAAAGAAAACTACAAAAATATTGGATTTGGAGAAAACAATATGAATAAATATGTTTTTCATTTTGCAAATTTACACATATAAGCTACATTTTGATCATAAAGTGGATTCTAGATTAGTGAATTGGCAAGATTACTTTGCTCCAATTACTAATCTCTCTCAACCATTTCATTTATTAATAGCTGGTAACTAAAATGGATTGTCTTTTTATTTTGTAATGACAAGTTCTCATAATTTATCTGATAACTCTTGTCAAGTGGGTCATCTATTTTGCTTATTTCTCTTTTAATCTCATATGAAAGTGTCTTTTTCCTGTTGTATATCTAGAAATTTGGCATTTTTGTAAAATGGAATTTAAATTATGATTCGCATTCATTATTGACAAGAAGATTTAATGGTGGTTGGAAATTTTAAAAGACGTTTTTATGATAATCTATCGATCTTTTTTTTATGTTTTCTCTGTTACTAAATATAATTTTTATGTTAACTACCGATAAAATTATTTACATTTAAAACCTCTATAATTTAGCTGTTGACATTTTTTCTTAAGAGTCCTATAAAATTTTCAGCATTGAATTTATCTTCAGAAACAAAATCATGTCAACAAAGAATAAACAAATATATAAAATTTCTGTTAGTTGTAACATGATGAAATTCTGTAATATTCACCACAATTTCACCATCTCAGCAGGTATGAGATGGTACTACAAAGTCTTGTTGAAAAAAAAAAAAAAAAAAAAAAAAAAAAAAGTAATTTTAATATTTGCACCTTGTATTTCATTCATTTAACTGAACTTGAAATAATACTGGTATTTGTGTATACGATCTGCTGAATACTAAAAATATATCTATACATTAAAATTCCATACTGTAAAAGTGATGGATGGAATTTAGAATAAAAGGGAACATGTAATTTATGACCCCAAAAACATGATTATGTGATTAGGGGCAAGAGGATATAAGCTTCAGGTGTTGATAGATTCACTTTCACCATTTAATTCTTTGATATTTCTTTCAAGTTCTCCACTAAACAGTAAAATTGTAAAACAATTTAATAAAATTTAAAATAGATGAAATTTTTCATTTCACTTAACCTACATTTACATTTTGTCCATTTTCTTTTAATCAATAGTCATTATATATTGAACTTAATATTTATTTCTAAATTTATTAAAAACATTTTTGGGTTTGTTTGTTTTTTTTTACTCAAGTCAACATCAATTTCATTATTTTCTCTTCTAGATCAGTTGTAACTGACAGAATATTTTATATGAGATTTTATTTTTCAAAGAAAGCATACAATTTATCTGTTAAGATTATTCCTCTAAAAACCATAAAAATTAGTTTTTTTTATGTTGATAAGTGACATTTTAAGCAGCAACAGGTGTAATATCTGCCAATATTTGATATAGTTGCTATGTTTTGCCAAAGTGACAGCTTCTTCATAGTACAGTTCATAAAAACCCTATTAAAATATTTGTGGTGGATATTTCTGAGAAAATAATTGTAATAGAATTTAAATCCTCAAAAAACAAAATATAAATTTGTATGCCTTAAATAAAAGGTATTATTTTCACTATATGTCTAAAACACCCTTAAATATCAACATCAATGTTGATAAAACAATTCTTACTGTCCAGTTTAAGTAAAGTAGATTTTATTAATGCATAAAGAAATCTTCAAGAAAGCAACTGTTAAGGATGATACAATTAACATTCATTTTATCTCCATCTAGTAGCTGCCTCACAGAAAAGATTCTGTTCATCTGCCTTTATTACCAGGTGCAAAAGTTAATATTATTTGATTGAGAAGTAAATGTTAGATGGAGTAAAGTCAAAAGAGACAAGATTTGGAATGTTATCAACTCCATCTGAGGATCTAGAAAAGGTTTTACATTTGTTTGTAGTGCACTGGAAACTACTAAGTTGACTTTTCTGACATATTGACAGTAATTGTCATTGGATTCACTATAAATTTAGATTTGCTTTAGCTTTTTAAATTGTAACTTCTTAACTTAGTCACCATAGTATTCTCATATTTAAAAAAAAAAATCATTTTAAAGCTGTTTACTCTTCAGATTTCACTGTAATGTTGTCTTTCCTCTTGTTGTCATGAGGCATCATTTTACAGCTTTAGATAACTTATAAGGATTAAAACTCAGATCTCCTGCTATAGAGCAACAATTAACAAGTTAGTATTGAAAGCCATATATTATGAGTTTCTTGTGAAGTGCTTAAAGAAACACAAAAGTTAGCTTGCAAATAATTATAACTTTGGTTTCATAACTATATTTTTTCTCCCTTGTCCCAATTAATTACGTTTATTTAAATATATCAGTAAAATAATCAAATATACCTACAGCCTAAAACAGAACCAGAAAGAATTTACTTTTTAATGATTTTTTTCATGTGTAAGTAAAGCCTCACCATGCTAGGTGTTGCTGCTGTGGTTTCTATAACAAGTACATTTTTACAAGGTGCTAACTTTACGACCAACCAGGTTTGTCTTTTCAACAAGTTGCCAACCAAAGCTGGAAAACCCAATTTGCTCTGATACTAAGCCCATAGATGAGAGGGAAAAGCAATAGATACTTATCTTTAAAAGGATATTTGTGTGAAAGTAAATACAAGGGTCTCAGCTGGAATTTGAACTTATGACACCAATACCATTTTCTACACCAATCATTATGCAACATTAGCCACACCCTAAGGTTCTCTTAATTTAGGCAAATTTTACTATGAAAGATGTTTGAGTAAGCTAACTTAATAAAGCAAATAAATTATATATATATATATATTCTTTTTTAATATAATCATAGAATAATTACAAAAGATTTCTGGTAGTTCTTTCAGATCATGTTTTATCATTTTTAAAAAACACAAAAAGTAATCAACATTCAAATATACTGAATTAAAAAAAAATAGTTTTTAACAGAAAATTAATTTACTTTTAGTTGACCCACAAAAGCTGTTAATTGAAGCTTTGACTATATTTGTTTGATAATTCAAACATCACTCCCTAAAAATAATAATGAAAATTCATCAGGCTACATATTCTATACTTTTATATTCATAGAGCTTAATTGTTTATTTTTCATGTTTTAAATCCTAACTTATCAGTTGACATGTACAATAGTTAAAAATTGGCTGATTTGCATTCACAACCATTACAAGCAAAATAAAAGATTCATGTAAAAAACTGCTATCACTAGACTGACTATGTCCCACATGTGACTATTCCATCATTAGTATTTATATATATATTTTACAGATGTACTGATGTATAGAATTGAAATAGGTGGGACAAAAATCTTTTCCATTTCTATACACAGCAATAACAGTTATCTTGAAAGACTAAAAACAGTAAACAAGACAAATTTACAAGACCTTGTCCAACTAACAACATTTAACAAGACTTTACTAATGATACAAAATTTTCTCCAATTTTACACAAGTTGTCATTAACCAAATTTCAAGTTGTAAAGGTGCTTATCACTGACACCTTTCAATAACATGGAAGGGGCATTCACATGTAATGATATGCTTTATCCACAGAACCAATAATAAGGTTAGATTTTACAGATAAAAGTACATTTCACATTATTCTTAAGGTTTTACAATTTAATTTCAAATGGACATGGCTGATTATAAATACATAATATAGATAATAGATGCTGACCAATAAAATGCATATTTTATAAGAGGATCTTTTAAACAATTGCTCACTATAATTTGTAAGATGAAGCTTTGTTATGAGGTTATGAGCCTGACATCCATACTACCATATTATTGGGCGCAGTAATGCTGTTGGGCATGAGAGTCGCCTGGAAAAGTTATCTATGTTTGTAAAATCTGTTGTGCAGGACACACCAGCAGCCAAAGATGGTAGACTCAAGTGTATTCCAAACTGATTACCTTTAAGGTTCATGATGGACCAGAAATAAGCCAGAGATCTACAAGCAACTTCATTCCTTTTTGGCCCTATTGGCTACAATTGCCAAAAAATGTGCCAGACAGTAAGGACCATTTCATTACTTTGAAACCATACTAGTAGTCTGGGATTTGTTATTGTTGGTGAGCAGGATGGTAACCAAGAAAATTTACCAATGTTTGTAAAATTTATCATGCAAGATACACCAACAGCCAATGATAGTAGGCTGTAGTCCAAATATTTCAATAAAAATAGCCAGCATTATACTAACACACAATTTTATTTTGTGAAGTTTAATTGATCCTATTTCCACAATATTAGTTATAAATGTTAGCATAATGATCTTAAAATGGTACTTGTGTAGTGCAAGATAGGAGTTTATGCAAAATGGTCTAATATTAGGAGGTGGGACCTTAGGATGTAATATTCCATCAATGAATCCATTGACATATTACATTGTATGTGATATTTATTTATAAGGAAATGAAAATTTAAAATCTATAAACCAAATTCACTGCTATATCCCATAATTTGTCAAATTCCCACGAGTATATATATATATATATATATATATATATAGGCAGCAATCCTTCATTTTTACATGTTTCATTAAAGATGACAGACAAGGTACTACTGTTAAGCTTTTTATTTAATTTTTCTTGTACACAGAGTGTGTAGAAACTGTTCAAATGTTCTATAATTCCGATCGCTTTCAGCTATACTTTTAGCCATTATCAAGGATGATTTCATTCTTGCTTTTTAATTGAGTGTATGGGTTGTGCCTATGTTTTTAGAGTTATAGGGATGTTTTATTTTCTGAATACAGTTAGTACATTGTGGCTATGTTTGTAGTTAATATTATTAAGTGTTGGCTTTTTCTTTCTTATTATTAATGCTTCCATTATTTTCAATCTTTTTTTACATGTAGATGAGATTATTATGCTTGTATTTTCTACTAGTATGTTTTGGGTGGAGTCTGGTAAGTGTGTGTCTGTGTGTTTAAATTGATTCTAATAGGGCTGTG